AAGGGGAAAGGGGGAAAAAGGGGAAAAGGGAAAAAGGGAAAGGGGAAAAAGGGAAATGGGGAAAAAAGGGAAAAAGGGGAAAAAAGGGAAAAAAAGGGGAAAAGGGAAAGGGAAATGGGGAAAAAAGCAAAAGGGAAAAAAGGGAAAGTGAAAAAAGGAAAAGGGGAAGGGGAAAAAGATAAGGAAAAGGAAGGGGAAAAGGGAAAGGGAAGGGAAAAGGGGAAAAGGAAAGGGGGAGGGAAAAAGATAAGAAAAAGGAAGAGGAAAAGGGGAAAAGGGAAAGGAAAAGGAAGAGGGAAATGGAAAAAAGGAAAAGGAAAGGAGGGAAGGGCAAAAAGGTAAGAACAAAGGAAGATGAAAAGGGGAAAAGGAAAAGGGAAGAAGGGGAACGGAAAGGGGGGAAGGGAAAAAAAAAGAAAAGGGAAGAGGAAAAGGAAAAAAGGAAAAGGGGGAAAGGGAAAAGGAAAGAGAAGAAAAAGGAAAGGAAAGATAAAATAGAAAAAGAGAAAAAGAGAAGAAGGAAAAGGAAGAAAAAGGGGGGAAGGAAGGAAGGAAGGAAAGAAAACCCAAGGCAATTAATTTATGAATTGACAGAAGGTTTAATGGCTAAGATGACTAGAAAAGGAGTTGTTCTGCTGTAAACGAAAAGCAGAGCCCTGGCCTCCTGCCCCGGCCCTCTCTGCCCCGCTGCCTTGGCTCGGCACTGCTCCGGCAATGGGGTTTGGTGTCCCACAAGCCCCGTATGTGTCCTTACACCTCAGCCGTGCTCTCATGGATATGTTTCATCTAAAACCAGCGCTCTGATCTAAGAGCGTAACAGTAGCTGCTTAGGGAAGATAGGAGATAGATGAGAAATAAAGTACAAACTGGCAATGAGACAGGGCTGTCAATGGAAACACCCCACCTGCACTGATGCTGCGTACTCAAACATCAAGGGCTGACTGGTACAATTGCTTAAAGGACAGAATGAGAGCTGCCTTACCCTCTAAACCTTTAATTTAATTAAAAAAAAAAGACAGTGGGTTATTTGTAAACACCTTTTTCCAGGAAACCATTAGTCTGTCAACCTTCTATTTCCTTATGGCTTATGTATCTCTTCATACATGTTAAATTTTAATAGTTGCTGTTTGTTCTCCCCCACACACTTAGCAGTGAGATAGAATTATTTCATGTTATAAACCAATATTCTATCTCCTTTTACGCTAAAACTAGAAATATTTTGGGGGAATACATTTTCAAAGGTCTATTGGCAATTCTGTGCTTGTTTGGAGGAGCAATAAAGTACCAAGGACTGGTGAGACTGATGGGAAAAAAACAAACAATCGCACAAGAATCTGTTTGACTAAGGAGGGAGTAAACACAATAAATAATCCCCAGACATCGGGACAACACCGTCGAGTGGATTAAACACAAAACTGGAAGGCTTTGGCCAGGTTTCAGCTCTCCTTCTAATGCAACGTGACCTTGCGCACATTACCGAGCTCTCGCGTTTGTTAATATTCAAAAGGACTTAACAAAACACAAACCAGCAGGACTCGCTAAATGGCAGCCTTAAGGGTTACTTCAACCGGCACCACTTTGCAAACCGCTTCCACCTGCATTCAAAGCCTGGCTAAAAGGTGGCCCAGGGATGCAAACTCCAATTGCTCAAAACAGACCTTTTTTTGTTTTCTAAATATTTTTATTCAGTTCATAGCATTTGAGAGGACGATGCAAATTCGCCCACAGGAGAGCATAAGGCAACAGGCAGCGGTTCCAGCGCTGGGTAACAGAAACCTTCTGGTAAAGGAAATATTAGCAGAGAGTGACTTTAAAGCAAAGTATGGTTTTATGGGTGCCTGTTCCAATCTCTGTTTATGCTGTCGTGTTCACCTGACCCAGGGCTGGTGGTATTACATCTATAAGCCATTTGTCTCACGCTGGTTTGTAAAATGCTGCTTTGTGCTGGTACTCAGGAGCCCTCGCTGCACAGCAGATGTATTTCACTGCACCTCAGGTGAGTCAGCAGCAGACAGCAATCTCGGCGAGCGAAGCCTGCTGTCAACCGAATTCACCAGAATTGCAATCAACCTCCAGAGCTAGCGTGAGGTCTGCTATCAGCGATTTTTCAGGCCCACATCCTATGCTGGGCCTCGAGACAGCCCATAAATTCTCTTATACTTTTCATTACATAAGAAATATTCACTATACTTTACTACCTCAGTCTGGCCAGGAAGAAAATTGTAGTCATTTTTTTTCTGTAGGGTTATTGAAAGAAAAATTCATGGCAAACATTTATAATGGCTAAAAAAAAAAAATCTCAAAGAGAACTGCCTGGAAAAATCTGACAGACACATGGAAATGCTTCCAAAGCACATCTGAGTAAGCCTTCCCATCATCTCTGCAAAACAAGTGACACAACACTGCAATCTCCTTCAGCTGCCAAATGAGATGGTGTCCTACATGTCCTTGGGGCCTACAAAAGAAAAAAGATAACAACAACAACAACAACAACAACAACAACAACAATAATAATAATAATAATAACTACTACTGTTTCCACATACCCCTCCTCACCTGAAGGAGAATCTGAATTGTTTTCTACCCAGAGCCCAAGGTACAGCTGAGCAATTCTGAGCTCCCTCAGTAGATGGTAGTGCTGCACTGCTCATCCTCTGTCTACTTTGCAGATATTTAGAAGGTAATTTCCAGGCCTAGACATTCAATTCTCAGCTCATGAAATATATTTAAAGGCTTCAACTTCTGCTCTAATGCACACCCAGGGAATTCCTTGGTAGGATGTACTCATCTCACGTTATTGGCAATAGTTTTTGGCCATGCAGAAGCCAGAAAAATGGCCTCAATGGCAGATTTATGCGCCAAGAGAGAAAAGGTGAATATGTTTAGGATTTATTTTCTTTCTCTGTGGTAAATCTCTGTATCCTGAATGAATGATGGTATTGGTTTTGGTTTAAAAAAGAAATCATGGAGCAAAGTGTCAAAAGTTTAAGAAAACAGAAATGATGGAAGAAAGAGATCACATTGTAAATGGCATTTGCTGTACCTCACCCATGCACAGATATAATTTTCCATACAGCGCTGCTTATGAGAAATGCACCTTGTTAATCCAAGAAGCATCTCCATGTCCCTGGAGATAAAGCAGACAGCATACCAGCATGGGGAAAGGCTGTGGACAGGCACCCCGCTGCCAGCATCCTTCTGTGGGGAGGAGGCAGGGGCAGACCTCAGATGTGGAGGGACCATAACCTGCTGATACCCAGGGGAGAGGCGAGATTCCCACACACCTCTCAGAAATAATGGGCCAGATCAGTGCATTCTGGCCTTAAAAATATCTACATCCACTATGAACGCTTATTATCACACTTATAATTTTGGAAACCCTGAAAAGCTGATCTACATTGTGGACTAGGCAAAGGCAGCTTGTCAGCATCCTATGGACCAGCCCACAGCATGAGACTCAGTGACCTAAATATTTCTCTTTGAGGAAGAGCTCTCTTTCAGTTTATTTTCCTTCTAATGCTAAAAACATTCAGCACGTAAAGGAAAAAACCTGCCTGAGAAGGGATGCTTTGGAGGGAGCTCCTTGTACCGCATCCCGTGGGACAAGCAGCGACTCTGGTACTGCCTGCTGCGGGAATTGTTGGCCACGCAGCTCCTGTCCCTCCCTTCGCAGGCTGTAAAGCAACGCAGATCTCCCTGCAAAGCCTCTACACAGACCCTTAACACCCCCCTCTGCTGCCTTTTCAGCTGTGTATCCTGCAGAAGCTTCTCCCGCCTACGCAGCGAGTCCTTCCCCACTCGCCGGCCGATGTCTCTCCTTCACCACCCGCCTGGTGCAGGCAGCGACAGACACGCACCCAGCCCACGCACCGGCGCTCGCTGCCAACGTCCGTGGGCTCAAGCCGGTAAACGCAGACGTATGGCCCATGGTGACGGGCAAACACGTGCGGAGGGAGCAGGAACGAGCGACTGATGCGATAAGCCTCTTTCACCAAATTGTGATCCCTGAGTTTTGGAGTTAACCAAAAAATCCCTGGGGTGTTGCGGGTCTCGTCGGTGAAATCTGGCCAGTTTTACTCCAGGATGTGTAACACGGAGTCACAGTTGGAATGAGGGCAGCCGTACCAAGGACAAGCAGCATTAGGCAGCAAGAGAACGGCCATCAGTCACTGGAGAGTATTCCAAGACCTAGACTATTATGTATTTTATAAATGCATTTCCCAGGGCCATTTAACAATGCCAGCCTTGCCTCCCAGTGATGAATCCGTTCGCTGCCCCTCGTAACCACCCATCGACGGGGCAAAGCAGGCTTCCCCCACAGAGCAGAGGGCTGTGCAGTCCCGGGGCGGCACGTTCGGTGTGCTCAGACCCAGGCAAGAGTTAAGGTGCTAGGAGAGAGATAAGCATTCATGAAAGCCTGGAGAGAGGGTGCCTCTGCTGCAGATAAACATTCCTGCCTCTCTCCTCCCAGTCCCCCTCAGCCCACCCCATCGTCCTGCTCTGACGCAGAGGGAGCTGCAGGGCTGAATGAAACTTGTTTGAGGTTCCAATCAAATCTCCATGGAAGAGGGACACTCATATCCTCTTCTGATAAAAGGTAATCATAAATCCTCCAGGAGCAGCAGCTGCAGACCTCACCGCCTCCCGCAGCAGCAGCCGGCTCCTCGCACCAAGATGGGCTCCAAGGTGAGAGTTTGTTTTCCTCTGCGCCACGCAACAGGTTTGCATTGAGAAGGGGACAGGGTTTGTGGCTTGAGACCTAAGGGCTACATTAGTCTACATGTCTTTATTGTCTATGCTTCCTTCCTCTTTCTCTCTCTCTCTCTTAATT